ATACTAATAATACTAATAATACTAATAATACTAATAATACTAATACTAATACTAATACTAATAATACTAATACTAATACTAATAATACTAATACTAATACTAATAATAATAATAATAATAATAATAAATTTATTGTCATAATTAGCCCAGTGATGAGAAGATCCTTAAACCTGGCTCAGGGAGGGAGTGCTGGTTCAAACTGTGCTATTTTGGCATGTTCACTATGTGTGCTAAGAAGCATGTTTCTTTCTCCACCCTGTCTTCCACCCTGTCGTTTAACAGAAAACACATTCTGTCAATATCTGACCATCCTCTTACCTCAAGCAATATTCAGCCCAGATACTGAGTGTGGGGTTCAGAATAGCAAGGGCAATATAAACACATGTGTACCAGTGACTCAATTCCTCCCAGTTCACAAGAGCAGTTCCTCTTATTGTAAGGAATACCCTGAAACCTGCCAGATAATACTGCTGAAGGCATTACATTAAATCTGGCCAGGGAATAGGCTCTGCATTTTTGAGGCGATTGTAATAGATGATAGTATAGGGCACTTTGGCCCTGCCTAACAGGAATCAGGTGGCTTAGGGGAGAACAGGTTTTATTTGCTGGACTTAGGAGATCCTAATATAATACAAGGTATTACTCATAAATCTGCCATCCATCAGGTGTTGGCATGCTGCTCAGAGTCTGCCCTCAGGAACAATATTCCAGGATCAGATGTGTTTAATTAAAATATAGTTTTATTAAGGAGGAGGAGTAGATAACAATAATTCATACCCTAACTTGCCATTTTATATTGTTGACTTGAGTAAAAGGCACAGTAGTGATTTCAATCTTTCAGGATGGTAGGATGGAAAGGTAAAACTGCAATGTCAGTGAATAACATCCATAAATTAAAAGTTGCCATAAAGAAAGAAAAAAAGAAAAAAAAAAACAGTCTCCATTGGTTTTTGTAGGGAAGACAATGTGGAAATCTGTCATCGGCCGGACTATATGGTGAGTGGTGCTACGTACAGTACCTTATAACATACCTACCACCACCTTATGTAACCTACAATTAAGGAAGGACTAGGAAACTACTGCAAAGCCAAGCTCCATCCCTACCAGGTGCTCCAGAAGGGCACCATGTGGCTTGGTAAGATTAGTCAGGGTAATAAAATTCCATTAAAACATGATAAAACAACCCTTCTTTTCAGTTAATAACATCATGTGTCCTTAATATAAATAAAACGTCAGCCAGTGTTATATTAAAAACATATCCATCTAAAATCACCTACCCAAACATTTGATTACGAATAACCATTGCTGCCGCACAGAATTTGGCCACTAGTCTTGTAACATAAGGGGTACTGTCAGAGAGTAGCAGCTGGACATAATCCTCCTCTGATCTCCAGGGACATTTACATATAATAGGTGATAAAAGCTCCATATGAACATCCCGATAGCAAGTACAGAAAAGGAGAACATGACCAACTGATTCAACTTTCTCACTGTTACAAGGGCAGAGACAATCTGATGTAGGCTGCACTTTCTAATAAAGATTGGCTTTACTGGCACCATGTGCAGTGGTGCTGAAAACTAATGAGGGGTCCAGTAGAAACAAACAGAGATGGACTATGTCTAGTAAGGTCCACCAAAACCAAGTTAGTTCCAAGTTCTTCTTGGAAGTCAAGAACTATTTTAGAAGAGGTTTTTGTTCAAGTCAGTTTTCCTACCGTGTACATCTCAAAGAGCATAAATATCTTGGAATCTTAAGAATCTTTATTAACTTTTAAAATGCACTTGGAACAGTTTGAGCCTTATTTAGTTTTGATCTGCCAAGCAGTCCTTTCCAGATTATAAGAACGATAGAAGGTTTTGTTTTTTGTTTTTTAAGGAAAAGACTTGTTTGAATGAAATTAATGCCATTCTCATTCAAAATTTGGATTTGTCTTTTATGTCTCTAATTTAGCACAATTTTCTTTGATGACAAAATACTTTTTGATAGAATACTTGATGTCTCAGCTATCTCATCCAAGGTAATAATTACTTTTTAAAGTGGTAAGGTTATCTTTTCTCTCGATAGCACTCAAAGTATGAGAGGCAATGCCAAGCAATATATATATATAAATCTTACCTTGAAGTTTTATTATAATCATCACTTACCATATTAATTGGATCCACGGGACCAATGCTGTTAACGTAGACATCTGTTTCAATTACTGTAGTTCTCACTAAACAAGAGAGTAACCATAATTACATGTGAAATTCACTGCTTGCTACAGGACCCAGTAATGTTTTTTTTTAATGAATCAATAAAAATCTAATGGCACAATCAATCCCTATCTGTGCACACAGAACCACTTGAAAGAACTTCTATACATGCAATAAGGTTTTCATTTTTCAGGGCTGCTACTAACCTTCAGTATGATATCCTTTAGCAGTGTGGGGCATTCTAGAACACACCTGGCCATTTTCAATTATGGAAGTTCTCCCATATTGCATATTACTGGCATCATGCTGCCCCATAGTCTCCAGGACCACGGTATATAGAGGTGCAAGCCAAAGTGGAATCGTACAGTACACTGCCAATCACCCAAACCTCAATTTCTTTAAAACATAATTGGCCAGTTTCTGGATGATATGACTGGACCTCGAAGACTAATTTCTCCCTTCACACTTCATTTAAGCCTGTAGAGGGCTATTTTTCAGTTCTGGAAAATAGCATTTATGGGTAGATTGCTAGGTCAGCAGCACCCTATCGCCTGATATTTCAGGGCTGAAACCTGAGACCAGAGTGTGGGCCCTTGTGAAGTTTACAGGGGCTTCTTTGTCATAGAAGCAGGGCTGGAAAGCATTGTTTAGGGGCCCGTTGATAATAGAAATGCAGATGAAAGAAGTCTGGGTAAAATGGCACCAAAGCCAACTAAACTCCGGATAAGTGGACGTAATGGTAACCCAGGGCCTGGAGATACTAAGCCATACTTTTGCTGTTACGCAGTTACCAAAACACATTTGGTAAGTGTTGTGCTTGCTGCCCTTCCCACTCAGTTTGTTTGTTTGTTTGTTTGTTTGTTTGTTTGTTTGTTTCTTTCTTTCTTTCTTTCTTTCTTTCTTTCTTTCTTTCTTTCTTTCA